ATAATGCCTTATACCGGTGAATAGAGTAAACGTTAAAAGCTACGGTAAACAAAACTTTGAAGTAAGCCTTAAGTTCTAAAGTACATCTTTAGAGTCTTTTTTAACTCAAGAGAGTAGTGATATACTGGAGTGCGCATGTTAGTAAAATAGTGGCGAAAACATTCTAGCATAGAATCAGTTGCAACTGAAGAAACAGTTAGAATACACATAACTTTTATGTAGCATTAAATAATACTGGTCATTGAGAAAAAGAAAGAAACCAGAATTATATGAACATTGCTTAATAACGATATTACATTCGATAGTACAGGCTGAAACAACTTGTAATAATGCACAGTACAACGAACTCATTACTGAAACTTTGGGCTAATATTAATATATTTTTGTTGATTGTTTTTTTTAGTAATACGCAAGAAAATTTTTTTATGAGAATACTGTAAGCTTGTAGTACTTTTTGTACGTAGATCCACTTTACGTGTTATTTGTATGTTTGTTTTGAATTTCGCGCAAAGCTACAAGAAGGCTATCTGCGCTAGCCGTCCCTAATTTAGCAGTGTAAGACTAGAGGGAAAGCAGCTAGTACTCACCACCCACCGCCAACTTTTGAGCTACTCTTTTACCAATGAATAGTGGGACTGACCGCAACCTATAACGCCCCCACGGCTGAAAGGGCGAGCATGTTTACTTTTCTAAAGTTTCGTCTTCGAATTCCTCATGGGTTACCTGCTATGTTGATGTACTGATTTCATATAGCACAATATCGGTTTCCTTTTCTACGTATCTTGTGATGCACTAACTTCACCACAGATGATGCTATATACACAACCAACCGCAACGCAGCCTAAGATGGAAGTTTGACAGAAATAAAAAACTCTATTGTAACTTAATTATAAAAGAAATAAATCATTCTCCATTATGTATAAAATATATGAATCTGTAGCAACACGAGAACTACACTCTACTTCAAAAACGAAACAGTAGACCTGCCGCGAAATTTAAAAGCTCCAGCAAGTAAGTGGAAAAATCAAGCATGATATCACGTAGGGCTAAGAGTATCTGTGAGTCAACGTAATCTGTCTCGAACCAATACCATAGGCGTCACAGAAGGCAGACATTACTGACACACCGATTTTTTTTAACACCGCCAAATGATGAGAGTATGACAATACCTCAAACAAACAGAATCTTATAATTTCGGTCTCAGCTTCTTTGGAAAATTTATAATTCTTGCTGGTTGAAATTGCATTAATACACTTTGTTATCTCGTTTCATTCATCGAGTTCATTAATGCTTGAGGTATTTTTGACAAATGTATTAAAGCCATACCTTAGTTGTGATATTGTCTATATTTCACTTGTTCTTACTGCTGTTTTAGCAAAAAAAAAGCTACTCAATGGGCAACCTGAGCTTCGACAAAATAAGGAAGACTCGAACCTGGGATTTTAGCGTTGTAAGTCCGTAAACTCACCACTGACTCACCGGGAGGCATTATTACAAAGATGAGTTATTTATTATTGAAGAGTTCATAGGGCACTAATTTTCCACTACAGTAAAATCGGCTTTTTGACGACTTTATCAATGCAGTGCCGCCATCTTTTGTAATACGTTTAAGCACTAAATAAAAACTAACAAAATGCATGGTTGTGTGATTGCAACATTAAAAGAAAAGCCCAATTCAATGAAAGTGAAGTCCAGGTAACCGTTTATTCTTCTAAAAACTACATAATATGGGATACGAAACATTTTTGAAATGATTTCCATGTATGTGCACAGGATTAGATTAGTTCCAGTGCCACCTGATGAGGGAAACTATTGAACCATATTTTGCTAAAGCTGTTTTTCTGGTGAGATGTGAAGTATCAATACTAGTATATTATTAATACATTAACTTGCTAAAGCACAGCATTGAAACACAGCAGAAACTCAGAAAGTCTTTGATTCCGTTTCACATATGCACATGTGCATTTGCCATCACGAGAATTTTTCTTTCACTCCGGAGTGATAGACTGAAGTTATTGGATTGCATGCCGTTCGAGTACAAATTTATTGGCAATAAAAGTCTAACTTTTTGTTTTTCATTTTACATTCGTGAACATTATGACATACAGAACTGTACTGAAAGAATATAATCACAGCAAGATATAATGCGTTTACTCAAGTTTGTGTTAATAAAGATGGTTTGTCCACTCACGCAGCTACACGTGTAATACAAGTAATTTGGAATAAACATCATTCTGAGGAAGAAGGAGGACACATACTCTTTGGGGAATATACACATGCGACACACGTCGCGATCACCAATATAGATGCTAATGGACATCGCGGCTGAACTGTGTCAAATGGGGTATAGCTGGACGATATCTCACACCGGAAGACTGATTGCCTCATCGAATTCTGATATTCGTTTGATAAGTATTGAACAATTTTTACGTTCGAGTCTGCTTGTCAAATTCTTCAGAAAAGACATCACAACAATTTTAATGTTCTGGGAGAAGATCCTTCATTTGATATAGGTTACTTCACCAGCTGCTTCGTCCATTTCTTGTGGATCATGCTGGCCAAGTTCAATTTCGCCGTTTCTTATCAAAACTGTCAGTTTGAGTAAAGTTCTTCAAAAGGCCAATAAGAGAACAAGCTCAACCGACTGACGCCAGTGTATTATCCTCGTCGGAACTAAAAGTAGATTTGTTCTTTCTTAACGTGAGCCTGACAGCTGGTCGTCAGTGAAATCCGTCTGTCACGTGTACACACAAGGAACAGAATATAGGCTTATGAAAAAAAACAAAAACTCATCTATTTGTAGTTGGATGAAGCGGCTATAGCACGCATACTACATGTCTATTATGGGTCTATTGAAGGATGATTCGATTCCGTTTTTTATCTATATTATTCTTACTTGTAACTCCAGCCAGTACAAGAAATTGATATCGCTACAAATATCTTGATGAACCAAAACATGTTCAATGTTTTTTAATTCCATAAATCGAGCCTACTAAAGCAAAAGATATTTTTCTTACATTTCTTTATCGCAGTGGCACTGAGATAAGTCGATTAATAATACACGGTAGATTTCTTAGTTACTGAATCCGTAGAGTTTTTAAATTACTAAGATAAGTCGATTAATAATACACGGTAAATTTCTTAGTTACTGAATCCGTAGAGTTTTTAAATTACTAAGATAAGTCGATTAATAATACACGGTAGATTTCTTAGTTACTGAATCCGTAGAGTTTTTAAATTACTAAGATAAGTCGATTAATAATACACGGTAGATTTCTTAGTTACTGAATCCGTAGAGTTTTTAAATTACTAAGATAAGTCGATTAATAATACACGGTAGATTTCTTAGTTACTGAATCCGTAGAGTTTTTAACTTACTGGAAAATAAAGTAGTTACATTAGTGAAAGGATTTAGTTTAATGACTTAGAAATTTGAAAGAAACTTTAGGTTGGTTTATAAAACGTAAAAACACGTAAATAAATAACAAAATAGACAATGTCACATGCGAAAAAGCGTGCTCTACGTAAAACACAAAACCAGTATGACCGACTCCATTTTGTTTGTATGAATAACAATTTTGTCCCTGTAGTGAGCACTGAATTCTTAATTTTATTGGATTTCAAAGCCGTTTGAGTTAAAATGTTATCAAATGTACAAAAGCTTAATTCATACATGCCTATAACTCTATCAGGATGTTGAAGGGTTTTTGATACGATGTCATACTACAAGCGGAAATACTATCTAAATATTATACTTGAACGTGTTATATTATGATAGCGTTACGATAATATTTTATGACACATATCAGTAAATTATAGCATTTCAGTTGACAAAATACTGGTTTGAATATACAGAGTAATGCACTTAAAGCTTAAGTTATGGTAGTCCTATTAGAAAACTACAACAGTACACAGTGAATGTATGGTTAACGTAATTTTTCAGAGCTCAAGTCTGTAATACGGAGATAATACCATAATCTGTATTACGATCACATTTCCAGTAAACATTAAAAGATTTGTCCTGAAGCGGTTATTACTCCATGTTTTCCTTTCAACTTTTGTTGGACCTAAATATTAATATCGTGATGGTTTTATCGTGATCACACAATTAATATTTGTTTTTGTCTTTGTTTTGGCTAGACACAAGTTTGAACATTACTCTAAAACTTGTAAAACGAACACAACTATTGCACGTTTATGTTTTTCCAAATTTCAATATCATGCTGTTTTATGTTTACAGGTTATTCTAACGTTTCTATTAAGCACAACATTACTATATTGTTCCAATATTTTGAATAGACATAAATCTAAGAATAATAGAAAATTTAAAAGTTACAGTTAGATTTGAAACGCTGTTTTTACACGTTTTTGAATCCAAAATGGAGAAATTAAGAGCAATGTTGGTGAAAAAAAAATATCTGCAATTTACGTTATTTTTATAACAGAGATAATTCTAAGATTCATATTCATCACACATCAGTATATTGTGGTTGTAATTTGACTGGTCAAAGTAATATAAAGGTTATTATAAAGTTACTATATTGTTATAATTATATGTAAACGTAATGAATTATGTGTTACAGTAGGGATTTTTAACCTATGTATTATGCATTAATCAACATACTATTACAATGTTTTGGTTCCAAACCTTTTTTATCGTGTAGTATTAGTACATTCTGTGCCTCAAATACATTATTTTTTGCTTAGGGATATTTCTTCTCTACACAACTTTCAGTTTATTACACTCAATTTCCAATTTACACTACGCAGTCTTGTTAGAGTATTATGCATTAATCAACATACTATTACAATGTTTTGGTTCCAAACCTTTTTTCTCTTGTAGTATTAGTACATTCTGTGCCTCAAATACATTATTTTTTGCTCAGGGATATTTCTTCTCTACACAACTTTCAGTTTATTACACTCAATTTCCAATTTACACTGCGCAGTCTTGTTAGAGTATTATGAATGATTACGAATGTTTTGGTAATGATACTTACCCCACCTGTTCTCACTGTCGGCAGGTTTGACCTGGATTGGACGGTTCATCTAAAACAAAAAATAAAATAATAATCAATTTATTCTGACATGTAATATGAGAACTGAGAACACTCGTATGATATTATTTCTACTTGAACATACTGTACTTATATAGATAGTTGAAGTGAAAGACAGTAATCTATATTTCATTGGATACAGTTTTGAATTTGGAGAGTAATTAAATAATTTAGTTGATAATTAAAACCACAGAGGTGGTAAGCATTGTATTTGTGGGTTGTCATTTCTGATGAAAGGACGTCTGCATAACAATGTTAACACTAGAGTAGCATTTGGTTCATTTACTCTAACCTCCTGGAGATAAAAGCTAGCGTGGCAAAAGTGGTACCATTGTTGACTTTTCACTTTTAATTACAAATAAACCGTTTTCGCAATAAAATAGTTTAAATAAAACTAATTAGAAGATTTTATTCGGTTTCAAAACTGCTCTGAGATAATAATCATTTTAAAACACCATCAAAGCAACGATAAAAGACCCAAACGTCAATTGTTGGTCAAAATCAATGACAAAATGACTACTAGAAAAATGTCTCAAAATCCGTGAAAACTTTACTAATTTCCATACACCGAAGTAAAAAAAGAATATAAGTATCAGATTATAAACTACTCACACTAAGTCAAAATTGATCCAGAGAAAAGTATAATTGTATAAATAACGAGATTGTTGTTTCTAGTTAAACAGCTACAGTTTGAAAAATGTATACAATTTCAATTCACTATAACAATTGTCTTCATTTTACATTGTTGAAATTATTATATGTATATTTCCAAGAACATGCATTAATCAATTAAAATGTGGGTACATTACTATTATTATTTTGTTTAGAATAAGATATATCATAACGAAGCACCACTGATACCATTAGTTTCGTAAATCCTTACGAGTCTAATGCTTTTCAACACCAAAGTTATATTCAAGCCTCAAAGCTACTTCCCTTTCCATGGAGATTGTTTTTTTCTTAGCTTAAACACCAAGGTTTCTCAGAAATACGTTCATTTTAAAGAAAACGAAATATTAAATATAGGAACTGATTATTTTAAGAAAAAAAACGGTTATTTTAGGTTAATGTTATTCTCTAATCAGAATTTCAACAAAAATTGAAACTGAAAAAGATATCTGCATGAATCTTGTAAGAAACGAGGCTTACGAAGACGTTACGTCAGGTGTCATGGTACTTTAAATTGCTAAAAGCTACACTTGATGTCGTATGTAAGCAAGTATCGGGAGGCCCGATTAGCATCCTGATATCCAATGTTGTAGCCGTTTTGACCCATCTTCAAAAACTTTTGATTTTGGCTTACAGTCGCCGTATAAATATGATTTGAATTGGAAAAAAGCTGGTCGTTTATTTTATCGTTGAACATAAAAGAAGTTTCGGTACCTATCCAAATGTGGCTGTACGTATCAAAGAAAGATGCTATAAGATCTCACACCACAGTCTGTAACCTAACTTGGTTCACAAATAAATGAGCTAGAATGTAAAGTAAATTGTAATTTCTTTTGCGATTAAATATTAGTTATATATATAGTGTTTTGATTATTTCTCACTTAATTAATTAGTCAATAGGTATTTAGAGCAAAATTTGATGGTAATAATAATTACCTTTGCCTTCTAAATTAATATGTATTTTCATTACAATTATGATTGATTGGTTTCTACAAACAAAATACAACGTTCCTCACATTTATATGTATTTTCATTACAATTATGATTGATTGGTTTCTACAAACATAATACAACGTTCCTGACATTAATATGTCTTTTCATTACAATTATTATTGATTGGTTTCTACAAACATAATACAACGTTCCTGACATTAATATATATTTTCATTACAATTATGATTGATTGGTTTCTACAAACATAATACAACGTTCCTGACATTTATATGTATTTTCATTACAAATATGATTGATTGGTTTCTACAAACATAATACAACGTTCCTGACATTAAAATGTATTTTCATTGCAATTATGATTGATTGGTTTCTACAAACATAATACAACGTTCCTCACATTTATATGTATTTTCATTACAATTATGATTGATTGGTTTCTACAAACAAAATACAACGTTCCTGACATTAATATGTCTTTTCATTACAATTATGATTGATTGGTTTCTACAAACATAATACAATGTTCCTGACACTTCTACATAAAATATTATAAAAATTCAAGTATTTTAAAAGAATGAAACAAAAACCCCAGCTCTAAAACTTTTTATTTTTTGAATGTATTCTGCAATTGATTTTGCCGTTTAACTGATCATTTCCACACAAAAAAGGTCTTGCTTAAGTAACACACAAAAATTTTATCTTTGGAATTCTATCGTCTCAATTAATTAATGATTATTTATAAGCGTCAATTCACTATGTTTCGACAACTAACATTTTCGCCACAACTAAAAGTATCTTAATTGAGATTTTCAACCAAGTGTAAGGTACTTATCATCTTAAAGTTATTTTTAACTTTATTTTGCATTTGACGCTCCTCAGCTTTTGATTGTTTGTTTTCGAATTTTTGCATAAAGCTACAGAAGAGCTATTTGCAAACAGCCGTCCCTAATTTTCAATTGATAAATTAAAGAAAAGTCAAGTTTGTCAAAAGCACCCACAACCAGATCTTGGGCTGCTCTTATCTAACCGAATGGAAGGATTTGACCCTCACTCTTGTCCCGGCATGGCCAGGTCGTTAGGGCGTTCGACTCCTAATCTGCGGGTCGCGGGTTCGAATCCCCGTCACACCAAACATGCTCGCCCTTTCAGCCGTGGGGGCGTTATAATCTGACGGTCAATCCCTCTATTCGTTGGTAAAAGAGTAGCCCAAGAGTTGGTGGTGGGTGGTGATTACTAGCTGTCTTCCCTCTAGTCTTACACTGCTAAATTAGGGACGGCTAGCGCAGATAGCCCTCGTGTAGCTTTGCGCGAAATCCATAACAAACACTCTTATAGCGACCTCTCGAGACCCCAATGTGAGAAATGAATTTTTGCGACAACGGAACGCGAACCGTGAATCGTCACGCCCGGTCTGTTATTTAACGCGAAAACACAACACGTTACAAAAGATGGTCATTAAGGAGACTATTTTAGGGAAACAGTTTCATGGATCGCAAAAAAAGTCGGTGGATGAACGACTTCTAGCGTCGACTGAAAATGATAATATATAAAGCTATGTGACATCGTTCTGTTCATGTTTAAGCATGCTATTAGACATGAAGACGTTACTAACCTCTCATGATCTTTTTTTTTTGTTGTTGTTGTTGTATTGTTCGTAACTAGGTAACGCATAGCTTCTCTGTCATATATCCTCAGTAAGGTATCCATTCAGAGAGGCAGTTTTATTACTTGTTCGATTCAAAGAAAAATTAAAATTATTCCATTCACATGTTCGGCATAAATATGTAAATCTCACAGAAGCCATTTGTTCTAATTCTGCGAGCCTTTATAAGATTACCATGTTCAGTCGTGACAAACATAAATTAAGCAAACTGAAAACCACTCACGCAAGTATTTAAACTATACATGACATCGTGTAATTACTACAAGAATACGCAGGTTTCAGTTTTGATAATCATAATAAGTCACTGAACATTTGATGAATCACTATTCTTCCGAGGGTGATTAAGAGAAACAGAGGCGTTCCTCATAAATCAATGCCTTCAGCATTTAAAAAAAGAAACACTCATAATCTATGTGAAAAAGAATGGACAAACAAGAGTTAGACGATATAAAAACAGTTAATACATCTCTAGGTAATACGCTTCAAGGACACTACATTATTTAAGCAACCTGTCTTCATTACTTCACTGTTCTAAAACTAAAGCTTTTCGCAGTTCTTCAGAACAGTGTGAAATAGATCGTCTACATTGGTTATACGTGCCTTAATGCAGTACGTTTTTTTTCCCTATAGGTGTTCTACATGATTTGTAGCACTGTGTACATAACTGTATCGTAACGGGTAAGATGTGCTAGTGATTAGCACGTTCTATTTTACTCTGAATAATTAGACATTTTATAGAATGTACTTCATATATTAGTATAAGGATCTTTTCCGTTTGGTGCCCACCAATAGATCGTTTTGAAAATATCACCAGTAATGCAATACAATAACATAATAAATAATTAAACATTATATGATATTTATTTAGCGAATTCTGCGATATTAAACAATATTTTTTGAATAAATCTTCATCGTTGTTTCTATTTCTGTATATAAATTCACAAAGATAAGAGTCAAGCATTTGGAGATGAGTTCTTTATTGACGCTTATTACTGTTGGTGGGCACCAAACGGAAAAGATCCAAGTATATAATGCCTACCTAAGAACACCAACACTCGGAAAAACTCATTAAGTTTTATAAAGCTGGAGTGGGGGGGGGGACTTTAGAGAGTAAATTAAGAAGGTCCGAAATTGTAATTACGAAGTTTCACAGGGAAAATGAAAATTTGCATGTCATATAAAAAGTTCCTACTAGCTAAGTGAGCTACACACGAGTTCCCCACACCACCATGATTATTTTAAGTCCTGCCCTTACAGCTGCTAGAAATGTGCATAAGTTTCTTGCAGAGTTAATGAAATGGCTTCTAACCAATTATCGTAACAAAAGAAAAGAGGCATTTCGTAAAAAAACAAACATGACATAGAGGCAATATCGTAGTAAGCGCAGGACTAAAAAAATATCACGATTAAGCACAGCTTTTGTATCACCCTGTATATTAGTTTTAAAATGATCAGTTAAAAATATGGTAATGCTAAAAAATATCTATGCTAGACGTATTAACGTGGGGATTCAAACGTAGTAAAACTGTTAGGTACACAGATTACAGGAGAAGATTTTATTATAAAATAACCGAATAAAACCGTTGCAACTTGTATCATTTTGCTCTTCTTGTAGTCTTGAACAATAATTAAATTGTTGTTGTTTTCCTACTAAAATGCTAAAACGTACACATTTTAGGTAATAACGTGTTGTGGAAATTTTACTT